CGATCAGCTGTTTAAATCGCTGTCTTGTGAAGCTTAGGTCCCCAAAACACCTGTTTTGCGAGTGCGGAGGGAGCTGTCAAAATCGTCGTCTAGCGAAAATTGGTTTGTGAAATTCGCCCATAGGAATCACTGTTTTGCGAATCGCTATAGTGATCGCAAAAAGTCAATGTCTAGCAAAACAACTGTCATGTGGGGTAACTGTCTAGCAAGGCACCACTGTAGTAGCCTAGACGTCCTGAGATTATCACAATCATTAATTATGAATATGGGTGGAAGAAAATCAGGATTATATATAGGGAATCTTTTACTGCCCCTCCACCCCAATTTCTGCCAGCTTCATGCGTCATTTTCTTCCTAACCCCCCCCCCTCAATCCCAGGTTAGGGGAGAGACAGATAACTGTCTAGCAAGGCACCACTGTAGTAGCCTAGACGTCCTGAGATTATCACAATCATTAATTATGAATATGGGTGGAAGAAAATCAGGATTATATATAGGGAATCTTTTACTGCCCCTCCACCCCAATTTCTGCCAGCTTCATGCGTCATTTTCTTCCTAACCCCCCCCCCTCAATCCCAGGTTAGGGGAGAGACAGATGGGAACTACATCAGTTTGAAATTCAAGGCGTACCTTGGCTTCTATTCAAGATGTCAAGTGGCGCCACCTTCCACTGGCTCTTAGGAAGCGGTCCTAGACACTGTGGCTAAAGCAAGCTGGTCCCCGGTCAGGATGTCCTGGCAGTCGGGTCTCGGGCGGGAGTGAAAAATCGGACGAAAGCACAAGACTTCCCATAATGGATAACACCATTTCCAGGGAGACCCGCACAGGTAGCAAACCCACGAGTAGGTAGCCTGAGATGAGGGGTGGGTGGAAATAGGTGTTGGCATCTTAAAACAAACCAAGGTGCTGGCTTGCTCTGAGTTTTCCCTCTGGTATATCTTCCTGGTATCTTGCCCCACTTTTTTCTTCTTCATCCTGACCAGGATGCAAAAGATCACAGCCGGTCTACAGCTGGACAATTTGTGCAGAACCGATTAAAAAATAAAAATAAAACAGCAATGTATGTTCATCTTGACATATGGGGGGAAAGTCTTTGAAGACTTTATTTCAGTGTAAAGATTTCTAGATCAGTCCTGTATTCTAGACAGGGGGCAATATTCATGATCTATACATCTATGTGGTTGCCGGAGTAGAATCAACAGTGTTTCCATGATCCTGGTCCAGCCATTATCCTCGGTCTGCAAAGAGCATGTTGATCAGAGTCATCATTTAAAAAAACAAAAAGCAGTGAGTGGTTAAGGTTGAAAAAAGTAACATGCAGGAGGGACTATTTAGCGCATTCCAATGGAAAAGTCGCCGTCTTGCGAAAATCGTCCATAGAAAACATCATCTTGCGGAACGTGGTTCCCCATTGGAATGCACTGACATCTATTTAACGCGTTCCGACGGGGAAAAATCATCATTTTGCGAAAATCGTCCATAGAAAACATTGTCTTGCGGAACGCGGTTCCCTATTGGAATGCACTGAAATCTATTCAACGCATTCCGACGGGAAAAATCATCACCTTGCGAAAATCGTCCATAGAAAACATTGTCTTGCAAAGCACAACAGCGATTGCAAAAGCCAATTGTCCTGCAGATTGTCTTGCGAGGCAATCGTCTTGCGAGGCACCACTGTACCAAGTGGACAAAAACTCATGGCTGAATGTTGTGTCCCACAATGCCCAGTGAAGCAAGTCCATAAATAATGAATGATCAAGTGCCATCAAGTCAGTTCTTACTTATGACAACTCTTTTCAATTTTTTTTTCAAATAGAGATTGCTCAGAAGTGGCTTCTCCTTCTCTTCTACGGGATGCTCTGGGACTGTGCAGCTTGCCTAAGGCCATAGGCAAGACGGCACACATGTCTCCCCACCCCGACTAAAACAACCCTGTGAGGTAGGCCAGGCGGAGTTTGACTGCCCAGTGAGGTCAGCTCCCACTGGGAAATCGAACTCTGGATCTGGGTTCATACTGCCTCTTGGCACTCAACTGCTACTCCCCGATACGGACATATTCCCAGGGGTTTCTGAACACTATGTGATGCGGGAGAGAAGTTGTTCTCCGGGGTCTTCCAAAATTTCACCCCACCGCCTGCAGTAAGCGGCTCCATGCCATCTTGGCTCATTTTGTTTGCCCGGATCCGGCCGACGAAGAATTCCCAGCTGAAGGGGCCGTGTGAGGAGTGGAGGGTCCCAGCTTCACTGGTGGGGGGAGCAAACCCATGGAGGGCCGCGGATCTTCCTTCAGGTGTTGGCCTTTGTTTCAGTGCGAGGCCTGGTGAAGCAGCAACCGGACCCCTCTTGCTTCTGCTGCTGGCCATGCAATATAATACCCATATGATTGGTATTTTAATTACAGTAAACAATGCTTTGCTGTTGAGCCTTCATTTTACATGATGCATTTCTTGCTCCGACTGCTTTCACAATGAATAGTGCACTTGCTGCGTTTGTACGCCGTCCACATGATTGCCACAGAAAACGGTCACTTCCTGTTTTCAAAGTCAGCCTCCAGTTCCTCGACTCTTTTATTGTCCAGCATCGCCGTCTTCTGGCTAATTTGGAGTGGTGCATCATACGTTTTGCTTCACCCCTCTCCCCCCAAACTCTGATGTCAGTTCTGTCATTTATGGGCAGGCAGAAACCTAACAGGAGAAGCATTTTCATGCATAGAGGTCCAAAACTGTATAAAGCTTGCTCAAATATAATATAAACATAATATAATATATTAGGAACGTGGTGGCACGGTTGCTCAAATATAATATAAACATAATATATTAGGGACGTGGTGGCATATAAGCCTCTGGGCTGCAAGGTCAGAAGACCAGCCGTCGTAAGATCGAATCCACTCAACAGAGGGAGCTCCCGTCGCTTGTCCCAGCTCCTGCCAACCTAGCCGTTTGAAAGCATGCAAAAACGCGAGTAGATAAATAGGTATCACCTCAGTGGGAAGGTCACGGCGTTCTGTGTCTAGTTGGCCACGTGACCACGGAAACTGTCTACGGACAAACGCTGGCTGTATGGACTGGAGACAGGGATGGGCACCGCGCCCCAGAGTCGGACACGACTGGACTAAATGACAAGGGGAACCTTTACCTTTACCTAGCATCGTTTAAGTGGTAGATGGATGGTCTGCAGGGGGGGGCATCGTTTAAGTGGTAGATGGATGGTCTGCCGGGGGAAAAAAATCTAGAAAGTACAAGCAGTGACAATTACATAAACTGCGGTAGTAAGAAGCAGTAGTTGGGGTGGTAATACAGATAAGCCTTTGTAGAAGAGTCGACTCACCCATTTACACGTGTAGTGAGATTGGAAGGCCTTCGTCCCTGGTTAAAGCCAAGAAGATAAAATTTAACCCTGTCCCATATCCTTGTTTAGCTCCTCCCTTTGTCGGCTGTCTGAAATTCTTTGGCCTAAGCAACAAGGGTGTCCAGAAACGGGGATCCATTACAGTCGGCCAATTGCTTTAAATCAAATGCTACAAAAAGCTTGAAGGAATAAAAGTGTTTCAAACGAGAGAGGACAGAAAGCAGGAATGTGATTTCTGTCCCGTCGGCCTTTGAACTGCAGCTCCCAAAATTCGCCAGTCGGAGCCTGGAATATGAAGTCAAGGACTTCCTATCCCCACACCATTGTGTCTCCCATCGCCCTGTACGGATGTGCAGGAAAGAAAGCCGGACGGGAAGGAAACAGGCTCTTTTGACCCGTGGCACTGGAGCTCTGTGGATACCCCGGCCTGCCAGAAAGACAAGCAAGCAAGACGGATCCTAGAACATATCAAGCCTGAACGATCTGTTGAGATGGAGAAGGAAGGATTCTCTGGAAAAGGCAATAATGCTGGGAAAGGTGGGAGGCCAGCAAAGAACATAACGGAAGCCACAGCCCTGGGTCTAAAAGAGAGGAGCAGGGCGATTCAAGACAGGAATTTTGGAGAGCACTCATATTTTGGAGATCACTCATTCTTAGCATCCTCAAAAGTCCAAGGCAACTGGGCAGCCTGTAACCAACACCATGCTTAGGCTGTTGGCTGATTATTTAAAAGGATCAAGCCTGCCTCCTTTCTTCCTGGAAGTTCTTTCTCCACCTGGCTTTGAGTCTTCTTCAGCTCTCCCTCCATCCTAGGCATAGATGTGCTCAGAGGCACTCTTGTTCGGACTTCCTACAGGCCGGGCGCGGCTCCAGTTCGCCAAGAGCAAAAGAGAAGGAAAACGCAGAGCGGGGTGGCCTGGAGAAAAACGCCGGGTCCGTGGGGGTGAAGCACACACACACCCCGGCCCAAGCAGAGGAGCAGGGAGGGTCCTCCCCATGAAATTGTGTGTGTGTGTGTGTCTGTGTGTGTGTGTCTGTGTAAGAGAGAGGGGGGGCCAACCACGTGCTCTCTCTTTCCAGCCCCATCGGTGCCAAGTCCGAGAGTGGAGACTTGAGGGTCCCGACGGGGTTGGAGAGGTGCCCACTTGTCTAACCACGCCAAGAGGGCAGCGCCGCCAAGGATCTGCCCCCCCTCTTTTTTGGGGGGGGACTTAAAGGGCCACCCGATCCAGGTGGGATTTTAAAACAACAACAACAACAAAACCAGGGCCACCAAACGTCCACCAGGCGCCCCTCGGGGGAGGGGAATAGAGACGCCTTTGGCCACCACCGCTCCGGACACTGTGCGTAAAAACGCGCGCCGCTGGTTTTACGCAACCCCGGGGGCCGACTTCCTTCGCCCGGCGCGCAAGCTGCGCGTCCTCG